TAAAAATAATCTTTCAGGATAGAAACATTTAAATACTAATCCGAGCAGTTCCAATAGGGTCTTCGCACCCTTTTGGGTGCTCGGACCCTAATAATAATAATAATAATAATAATAATAATAATACTAGCAGACATAAACTAAAGCTAAAACATGTTTGTGGATGTTTTTAGTCTAAACCAGTTTTCTTTCTTTTCTATAAAAATAATCTTTCAGGATAGAAACATTTAAATCCAAGAGTTGTCAGAGACTCTGAATCAGGACCTTCTTATTTGGCGACGTGATCAACACTGCATTACAGTTGCAATAGTAGAAATCAGGTAGATGTTCTAACATGAATGAACATTGTTTCACTGAACTTTATCACAGACAGACTCTGCAGGACTGGTTTTATTCAGACTTTGGTGTTGGTTCTGTTCAGATCCTGGTGTTGGTTTTGTGGTTCTGTTCAGACTGAGGTGTCAGATGGAGGTTCTGTATTTTGAGTTTTTGTTTGAATGCACCTGCTGAACTTTCAGCTGAACAAACTGCAGAGGTCAAAGGTCACAGGAACTCAGAGTCATTGACCTGACTGTATTGACAGAGTCTGAGCCAGCCAATCAGAGGAGAGGACGCTCTGTGAGTCGGCCAATCAGAGGAGAGGACACAGAGCCATCTGTCTGTTGCTGCTTCTCCGTCTTCTTCTTCCTCTTCTTCTACCGCTCCACGATGCACACCAAAGGAAATCCCTGGTGAGTTGCTCCTTATTTATTTTTTTATCTTCCTGTCTCAGAGACTCAGATTATTTCATAAAGTCAAATGTAAAATCACAAACAGTATTTCTGCACTTCTCCTCTCAGGTGTTTTTTGTTGTTGTTGTTGTTTGTTTTTTGTTTTTAAGAGAAAACTGAGTCTTACTATGATCAAACTGCTTCCCAGCTCTGAATTATTTTCAGCCAGACTGAAAAACTCACTTTGATGAATCCTCATGCAGTTTTCTGCTGCAGTAAAATTTAAAATTTAAAGTGCAGATTGATTTACAGCTTGAATTATCCGATTTTTGTTACTTTACTTAAACATTGTTCATTTTTTTTGCAGATGTATAAGTGAATATATAGATTGTATCAGCTTGCAGCTTAGAGCTGAAGCCGACAGATTTTTTTCTGTTGGCTGGTTGAACATTAATATTCAGCTCTTTGAACCGAAGCTGCTCTTAAACTCCCATTTTACAGTTTCTTCAGTAAAAATCTGCTGATGTCACTTTCTGGATTTGCTTTATGAGTAAAATCTGCAGTAGTGTCTGTCAATCATTACTGAGCGGCTTCATGTTTGTCACCTGCACATGGAACAAACGATCAGTCATTTCATGTAATTATATAGATAAATAAATACATACATACCTTTTCTGTTATTTTACACGTTTACTTTGTATGTTCTGTTTTTTCACTGTGCACACAGCCTGACTATGAGAACGTTTCTGTAACAAAAACATGATGTATTAATTGATGGATCCTGATTTTTGACATTAGATCAGAACATTCCAGATTAAAACATGAATTAGGTATCAGCAGCTTGTTCTGTCCTGCAGCTGCTGCTCCTTTGAGGATTACAAACTGACCACAGAGTGGCTGCTGAACCAGACAAACCACCGACCGAAGGTTGCTGTGATCTGTGGTTCAGGACTCGGCCTGCTGGCTGACAGAGCTGCCAACAAACAGACCTTCAGATACCAGGACATCCCCAACTTCCCCGTCAGCACAGGTGAGAGGCCACAGCCAGCTGAAGCTCCTCCCACTGATGCAACAACACTTGCTATGATCATATTTGTCCTTCTCTTCCTCCATTTTTTGCTTCTTTTTCACCTTCTTTTGCATGCTTTCAGGTCGACTGTTATCAGTAAATTAGCACAAAACTAAAACTACAAATGAACTAAAGTTTTTTGTTATGGCTCATCAACAAATAGAAACTAAATAGTAACGCTACAGATAGATGAACACATAATTAGTGCTTTCTGTTCCTTCTCCAGTATGTTTATGAAAATTAAGGTCCTTCAGTGCAGGAACAAGTCGGTTAAGAATTAATTACGTTGTTTTATTTCAATAAACATCAGTGCAGTTCAGTTTTTTATGTGTCATTTACATAACAATCAGGCCAATATAAACATCAAGGATGGTGTAACAAAAAAATTAGACAAGAAAAAAAAAAGTCAGACTTTTTATCCTTTTTTCTGTCAGATATCACTGAATCTGCCATATTGTGTCACATTCTGTCACCTGGCCATTTAGACAATCACCTGCTATGTTTCAGCCTCTATGTCCTGAAGCCAGACTTTAGTTTTCTTATGCTGTTTTCTAATTCTTTTGCTGTGATTTGGTAATTGAGGTTGAAATTTATTTTCAGTATTTAATGAAATTTGCTCACATGGGTTTTCTGTCTGTCTGTCTGTCTGTCTGTCTGTCTGTCTGTCTGTCTGTCTGTCTGTCTGTCTGTCTGTCTGTCCTCTCAGTCCAGGGTCATGAAGGCTGCCTGGTGTTTGGGACCATCGAGGACACTCCATGTGTCTTCATGCAGGGACACTTCCACCTGTATGAAGGCTACTCCCTCTGTCAGGTGAGTCCACCTGCACTGCTTTTACACTCAGACAAGTTTTCATCAGCATGCAGTAGGAGTCCATGTGTTTCTGAACTGAAACACATGAGTCCCTTCAGTCTCTAGTCCTTCACCTGTGCAGGTGATGATGACAGGTACAGCAGACCGACTGCTTTGTTACTGCAGTGATCTGGTTGTTTTTTTTTCTGTTGTTTTTTCTGGAACTCTAAGAGACAATTGAGTTTGATGTAATACAAACAGGTGTTAATGTCAGGTCTACCGGTCTGTCTCTCTACCTGTCTGTCCACCTGTGTCAGGTGACCTTCCCTGTGCGGATCTTTAAGCTGATGGGGGTGGAGTCTGTCCTCGTGACCAATGCCTCAGGAGGAATCTGTCCAGACTTTAAGGTCGGAGACATCATGATCATAAAAGACCACATCAACCTGCCAGGATTCGCTGGACAACATCCACTGTGTGGACCCAACGACGAGAGGTGAGACAGGAGGACAGACAGACAGACAGACGGACAGACAGACAGACAGACAGACAGACAGACAGACAGATTATTTGTGTGGGGATTCACTAAAGAGATTTGGAACCAGTCTGTGCTCCTGTCTGTCCTGAAATGCAAAAGTAACCATCAACAACTGAACTGTGAGTTATTGTGATCAGAAATGTACCAGCAACTTGAGCCACCCTGAGACGGGCCTTCACTTGTCCCTCCAGAACTAGAACCAGTTCCTTGCTGAGCCCAGTTTCCCACAGAGCCAGAGTTCACCAGTGCATTATTGTCATTGGGTATCACCAAGTATCAACAAACCAAAAGAAAAATCCTCTCTGAGAACTAACAAGATGTATCAGAAACCAAACACTTGTCCTCCAGGTGTGGATCAGGTGACTGAGTGGTTAAGGTGGTTCTGATAAGAAGCTGCCACTGTTGGCCTTGAGCAAAGCCCTCAACCGTGTCTGACCCTGAGCTCTGAACCCAGCTTCCTAATCAATAACTGCATTTCATTGT